ACATGCAATGCCAGAGGTGTGGCTGCCCTGCCACCCCGGCCACAAGAAACCTAAAAATACAGATCACAAGCATTCAGGCCGGATGAGAACTAAAGAGTTTGTTAGTGGGTGCAATGAGCGAGGCATTAGAAAGCAAAGGAAACACTGCTATACAGGCATCTAACAACAGCTGCATCATGAAACCAATTAAATATGAAAAGAACCCAAATCACGCCAACTGTAGTACACACCCATTTAAAAAAGAAGCTTTACATGCAGGTCTCCTGGTCTTTATTAGGTCCTAAAATAAGGTAAAAATGGTCTCGAATGAACTACAACACATGACGAATTGTGCCACTATTTTTTCAAAATACAGACGAAGTGTCTGAAGAATGAAGTTCACCCTCACTGTCTCCACAGGAATTAGGAAGGAGAGAATCAGCCACGCGAAAACCAAATACACCGAACAGCAGAAGCTACGATGGGCCGGGCTTCTTTGCATCGTGCAGTTGGTGAACCATGAACCAAAATATCGGTCAAATGTGAGGACGTCTGCCTGACAGCTAAAGCTTGGCCCACATTGAGTGGTGAAACAGAGCTATGGTAGAAGCAAATATACTGAAGCTACACTGTGATGAGGGACTGAGAAGAAACACTGCTGCTGCAGTGTTGTTAAACAGAGAGTGGAGTGTGTCACATGCAGCTAATCTCAGGTTGAATTTGCCTTATTTTTCATTTGCCCGTGGGTTTGACCACGTCTCTGACACATAGCAGCAGATAGCGTGAGTCATCCAGGCTGCTGTTTGCTGAAGGCCTCAGAGGTCACATATATGGACAAGACATAGACAATAGACTTGAAGTCAAGACCGCCTAAACCAAGACAATACCAAGACCAGAGGGTATCGAGACCAAGACAGAGTTGAGACGAGACCACATAAAAGTGGCCTCGAGACATCCAACTCTAATAGACAATAACATGTATGGAGGTGTCCCAATCCTGAGAGTCACAGGTAATCTCCAGTCTTATATATTATCTCCAATTAAGACCTGCCAGAGATTTTTTGATGTCCTGATACAGAAAATCTTGGTGTACTTTGTATCTCACAGATTTTGAGCTCTTTTAAAAGCTATCACCAAATGCCTTTCATGCCCATTTCAACTTTTAAACATGAGATTTTCATGAACTCAAGAAGACAGGAAGGCTCAAAAAACATGAGAATTGGTCCCAGTTTAAACAGGACATGTGCAAATCACATTTATGTCTCCTCTTTTTATCAGGATTACAATCACCTGAAGAAATTCATTCCAGAGACATTTTAGGGACATCTCATCAGGGTCTCAGTGCTGGAATGAATGCTGAGGCTCACTGAGCCACGCAAACATGGCCTGACATGTGGTCGTAGCACAAAGTCAGGCCGGTGGAAGTCACGAATGCTTTCTTACTGTTAGCAGTAAAAGGAGCAACTGCTAGATTGAAGCCAGAGGAGAAAAACAAGAATGCTGAAAACAAACAGCCGGAGTGAATTTAGAGACACAGAACAGAGTGGAGCTTCTTTATATCACAGGACGCTTTGTGGTTCAGTGATCGAGTTAACTTTAAGTGCAGCACCTCTGGTTTCCTCTGGGTCATAATATGGAACATCAAACCAAACGGCACAATAATGGAGGGAAATGCTTCACGTGATGAAATAATCCACTGCAAACATGAAATTCTGAACATACACCGAAGAAGGTCAAAGTCAATGTGTAGTTTTTCAAAGATGGGGGGAAAGATAGAACTAGATTGCTTTTAATGAATTTCCCATCATGCTCTGGGTGGAAATGAATGATGGAGCAGAAGCACAGCTGCTTTTGTGTGTTTCTGAGAAAAAGCAGGTGAAACCAGAGCCGTAGACAGAGATCATTGTTGTCGACAATCATCATGCAAATTAACATCATCGTGTGCACAAACCTAGAAAAGACAAATCTGCAACAGCATTAAATCTGTCTGACCTTATCAGAACCTCAAGGCAAAAAAGGACTTAAATAGTTCAGCAAATGTTTGAGATGAATGACGAGCATCGTGAGAGTCAAGCTATAATATTACCTGATAGTAAATCAGCTTACACTGCAGCCACACACAGACTGGTCAGCCACCAGCAATGAGGGGAAGGTGTGTATCCCCCCAACCATTTAGTGGTTCCTGGATGCAGCTGATTGCCAAACACTGCTATACACAGTGCTTTAATCACTAGCAGGTTGCCAGTAGTTTTAATGGAAGAAGCTGATTTGTCTGCAGACACAAAAACGACTCGCCATGGGGAGGTACAACTGTGAAAAGTGTGACACAAACTGGAAATGGAGAGTCCTGACTTCCACAATTGCATCCTATTCTAAGATCACCTTTTAGTTGTGACTCTATGCATTTCAGAGTAATGACATCCTGATGTAGGCCATGGGTCCCCCGTCTCCTCGTTTTAGCTTGCCTGTAAAAATCTCACCCAAACTCACAAAGTTATATAAAACAAACTGCTGCAAACTTTTGACTGCATCTGAGAACATGAATGCTTTAAGGATTATTCTCTGTCTACACAACAAACCTCATCCTTAGACAAAGATGCAGTTGAAAGACCCAGAAAGCCCTGATCGAGTTTTGGTGTGAGATAAAAATATCAAAGTAGCATTAAATAATAAATAGATGGCTTTTTGTGACCAGCTAACGACTCCACGACCGACTTTGTTCTTAACTGGTTTAAACAGAAATCAGCTGGTGCACTGCAGGACTGCCGGCAGCTTAAACCAGTTCATTAATTACTTTTCGGCAGCAGCTCAGTTCAGTACTCCTCCAGGTTCCCACCAGCTGGACAGTACACACACACACACACACACACACACACACACACACACACACACACACACACACACACACACACACACAAAAACACAAACATCATCCTCAGAGGAATGTCAGGCTGGCATCCTGACCTGCCCAGACTCACTCTGTGGAGCTACTCCAGCTCTCTGACTGAGGACTGATTATCTGTTCAGCTCCCTTACTGTGTGTGCGTGTATGTGTGTGTGTGTGTGTGTGGGTGCGTAGTTGTTTTGGGAACTCACTCCCAGACTGCATTTGATATATGAAGCCTGGCTAATTTCCATGGCCCACACTGTCCTCACACACTGCTATGTAAAGTCTATACTGTTTGCATGTGTGGTTCCAGGGACTGTAATTATCCCCCGCGGGGCAACAAATGTCACATTTTATCTGAAATAGTGTTTACTGCAGAGTCAACAATTAGTATTACCATCTTCTTACAGCAGCTGTGAGGATGAGCACGAAGCAGGCGAACACACTGAGATGACTAAAACTCTGGGAAACGCTTTTTCTCTCATAGCTTCAGCTGAAATTTAGAGTTCTTAGACAGAGAGAAGACTAGATTTCGACTTAATCCCACAGTTTATTGCCTTTGCTGGCAGGTACAGAGGAACAAACATTATCAAATTGTTACCATCTGACTTCAGCTTGGACGTATAAACACAGAGCAGCAGTGCTAATAAATACACATGAACAGGTCTATGTGCCGGCACTCGATCGAGTACTGTAGTCATCAGACACTCGAGAGTAAAGTGACGCTATTGTGCTCATTCACAGCTTCATGTTTTTATTCTTGGACTCTGCTAGGAGGAGCTTTGCATGATTCACGGTTCAAAATCATCTTTTTTAAAAAAAATCTTATACCAGGACTTTGTGCAGTCGCGCAATTAGCCATCATTTGAAACAAGCAGTCCTTCCTTTAACCTAAAGCTCTTTCCAGTGGCTGACCTTCATAACATAAAGACAACTGAGCGTGTTTTCAATGTGAGGATATCCTTGATGTCATGTGGAGCTAAAAGAAAAAAACCCTCAGAAACTTAGATGACAGATTATATGCAACTTTGGTCATGTTTTATTTGATGCCAGCATCCACATCATTAGTTACACCAGTACTAGGTTGGATCACCTTTTGCATTCAGAACTGCCTCAAGTCTTTGTGGCACAGTTTCAGCAAGTTGCTGGAAACATTCATCAGAGATTTGGATCACTACTGACACGACAGCATCACACAGTTGCTGCAGATTTTTGCACATCCATGATGCGTGTTCGACTGGATTAAGATGTAACTAAAAGGACAAGAAACTAGTTTGATGCATTTCAATTTTTGTGGCATGGCACAATATCCTGCAGGAAGCAGCTATCAGAAGGGATGGATATGAAAGGAGAATAGTATTTATGTAGGCTGTGGTGTTTGATTGATTTAATTGGTAAAAAGGAGCCCGAAGTGTGTAAAGACAATGTCCTCCACACCGTTACAGCACCTGATCCACTGATACAAGGAGGAGTCATGTTTTCATTTGTTTACATCAAATTCTGACATCATCATCCAGATGTTGCAGCACAAATTGAGACACATCAGGTGGATGATCATTTTTCCAACCATTTATCTTCCGATGGTTGGCGATCCCATGTAAATTGCAGCCTCAGCTCCCTGTTCTGATAGGAAACAACCACACCGGGGACTGTTTCTAACAGCACATCTGCTCTAAGGGCTGACATGTTGTACATTCAGAGCTACCAAGTAACCCTTTCCATCAGTGTGAAACAGTTTTCCACTGACCTCTGACATCATGGTGTGTGGGGATGTGTACATTAATGCATAGAAGAAACTTGTAAATAAATAATCTGCATTTGAATCCTGACAGACACTAACAAATGTTGTTTGTAGACCACTTACAGAAAACATGAGGGCAAAGGAAACTGCACGTGTTGAGCTCATCAGCTGAACTAGCTGTGGCTTAAAGAAGCTTCCTGCAGTGATGCTGTTAGTTTGTGCAGCGCTTACAAACATCGGAACCAATCAAATCAGACGTCCCTTTAGGGGACTTGTCTCTTTACAGAGTACAGTTATATTGGTTTCAAGCGAGCGTGTGTTCGACTGTAAGTGTGAGGTACACCACACTGCTGCCATCTGGTGGCAGGAGCAGAAACGCCAGGACAACATTAATACTTAATGCACAGTATAGAGTTTTATTGTTTATATTAAATCAGAAAGATAAGCACTATAACGTATGATACAAACCAATAAAATTTTATATCTTAGGGAAAAACAAAAACTCAAATGACATTACAAAAAAAATAGTAACACTAGTGGACAAAAAAACATTCTTTAAATAACAGAACTGTACATTTTCATACGCAACTAAAAAACAAAAAACAAAAAAACAGAAAAAAGTAAGACACCAAAAAGAAACAAATTAAATAGTGATGGAAAAGAACCACAGGCAGTCAGTACCAAACAGAGCTAAAGCTAAAGTCAGCTGACGCAGGAGGAAGGACGTAAGGCAGCAGGAAACAGGCTAGGACGCGGGGAGGATCAGAGCGAAGAGAGGAGAAACTGCTGTGTGGTTCCTTCACTCACCGTCTTTACAGAGTTAACAAGAGAGAGCAAGTAGCTGAATATAAACTCTTTAGAAAACAACCTCAGTGTAACCCCAGCACCCCCCCTTCATTTTCATTTTGACAAATATAATGACACTGAATCTCTTTGACACACAGACAGAAGCCACAGTCCACACAGTGCAGGACACCTCCAGGTTCCTTTGCATCAATCACTGTAAACTCTCACGAGAGTCGGCACGCACCGTGGACGCCGGACGGATGTAATATCGCAATTTGTAGGAAACTCGAGCCCGCCCATCGACTCAACCGGCGAGCCTTGTTACACTGCATAAAGTCCAAGTTGCACCTGTTCTACAGGTTTCTGAAACTCTTTGAAAAGTTGCATAGGTAAACGAGCAGGCAGCAAACGACAGCCTTCGATTTGACTACAACAAACACTAGAGGGCACCGAATGACTTTGATTCATTACATAATCGTCTGCAAATCTGAAAAACTTTTCACCCAGGAAACAAAAACTCATCTCGCATCAAAATTAAACTCGTGTTGCTTTTCTGCAACAACTGCATGTGTGCTATAGAAAGTCTTCAGTGATGGCTTCATTCTGTTTCTTTGGGTTTGCAGGTTTAAACAAAGAATCTACACAATGAGAATCAATTAGTGCAAAAGAGGTTAAATGCAACGTTACACCATGTCCGGAGTCCACGTGATCGAGAGCCCCCTGAACGACTCAGCAGCTTCAGCCACAGAGTGCTGGTGGAGGGAGGGGAGCTATGTACTGCTACAGAAGACAAACACGTAATTAACCCAGTAGCACAGCGCATGCCCCGCCCCCTTTTTTCTTGTCTTTTTTTAAAAAAAGCGCCATTACAAGTCGGTACAAAATGTAAAATAAAATCATATGCAGTGAACGTACACATGAGCAAAAATGTGTCAGGTTCCTTTGAAGCGGATTCGGCCCAGAGCTGTGCGAGCTGTGCCAGACAGAAGTGCCAGGCCGCTCACATGTGACGCAGGAAAGATCCATCAAAAATGCAAATAAACAAAACGTCTCAGAATCGGACTTCTCCGATAGAAAATTCACAAATCTAAACTTTTTAGTAGCAATATGAAAATGTCCTCTTTGTAAACAGTTTGCCCTTTTTGTCGAGTGGGTAAATACATTCTAGTCACACTGATGCTGAGGCTTGTATACGAGTGTGTAAGCGTGTATTCACAAATCTATGGCAAACATCTCAAAATCATCTGACGCTCAAATCCCTGTGAGCTGCACTTCTGTTGATCAAGCAGCCACGGCTGACTTCACTGCAGAACAAAGTCGTGCAGGTGTTTGACTTCATCACAGCTCCACTCGTACGTTTGAAGAAACGTAAATTGCGTGCTGCCGTTCGCGTCGCCTTTTGGAGCAGCGGCGGGGTTGCTATGGTGCGTAACCATGGTGATTGGCGCAGAGTGGGGTCGGGGTAGGGTGTTGTGAGCTGGTGATGAGTGAAAGGACGGGAGCACTCGAGCTCCTGTCGGACGTCCTCGAGGTTTTGAGTGTGGAGACGGGAGGGGCTGTGTGTGTGTGTGTGAGTGTGTGTGTTAGGGCGGGGGGGCTCAAGCGTGCATGAGGGGAACGTTGCTCAGAGCAGGCATAAACAGTGTCTGTTCACAAGTCTCCTTCTTCCGAAGTGGGCATGACCATGTGGGCGTGTTTCACATTTCATGAATCTTAGTGGCAGTGGATGCATGCACAGTGGCCCTACATGGATTGTTTGCATGCAGATTCAGATTTGTACACTATACACTGCAAATCTGTGTGTGTGTGTGAGTGTGTTTCTTTAGACATGTGGTGCTCTTCACATTCAGAGTCTGTCACTGCGGAAAGTATCCTCCACAGACGGGTCCGGCAGCACCATGTCGGGATCACTGAGCATGCTCAGTCCGTCCAGGCTGAGGGGCTCGATGCGCAGCTCGTCCTCCAACGGGAAGCCTACCTCTGAGTCAAAACATTCGGGCACCGTGGAGAGCGCACTGCTGATGTCCTTGGACAGACTGGGGTTGGAGTCATCTGAGAGAGAGAAGCAGATAACGCCCAATGATCTCTTTGCTTCTTAGACCAAAAAGAAATTTTAAAAAAAGCACAAGAGCAGCACAGGTAAAAGTCACGTACATTAAAGTGAGTTCATCTCCCTTCAGTGAGAAACGTCAGCATGGCGCTCTCCTATTCTTTGCTTTCAATGAACACTGAAAATTCGAGGTCGCAGCTGCGTGACATTTACTAATGTCACTGCAGTTCAGCACAATCACTGCAGCTGTCTGAGGCTGCGCTGCATTAGCTCAACATCCACCAGCTCTCTGCAACACGGCAAACATCATAATACACAACATCCTGTGAAACAGGTGATTTCTAACACCCATAACTGCACAGGCCAGTGGCTCATGTTAGCAAGCCAGAGACAGGTTAACAGATGGGAGGGGCTCCGTGATCCACCGAAAGCAGTAAAGACAGATGGAAAACGGGAGGTGCAGTAAAACAACTTGTGACCAGCAGAGGAGCTCTCAGCTGGACCGTCCTGACAGACGAAGCTAGCTCTGCTAACGTGAATGAGCCAGATGTTGACTTTGTTTGAAAACAGTAGCACCAAAATGTGGCACCGCATCCAATCGAACAGCAGGCAGCCTGGTGAGGACTCCCTGTGCCAAACTCACTGACTGCTGTTAACTCAAACTAACAGCAACAGCAACAAAAGTAAGACTAATAACAATGTGACATCATAGCAAACAGTAAGGGTGACAAAAACAGGGCTGTGTAACTGGCTCAGATTCCTGCACCAGGATATCCAAACAGTCCAGCGTGTCAGGAAAACACTGACTGTTCGGTTTGTTTTACATACTCGCATGTTTATTTTTTTAATCCAGACATGACAGCGGCTCTCTCCCCGTCAGACTCACCAGTCAGTATGATGTTGGGCAGTCCTCCGCTGCAGTTTGAGTACAACATATTGGACCTCATGTGCATCTGGTCCTGCAGGCTGCTGTGGCTGCCACCCATCCCTGACTGAGCAGCCTGCGAGTAATAGAGGGAGGCGGACGACGGATCGAAGCAAGACCCCCCTGCTGTGGAGCTCATTGTGTTTTCCAACAGACCGAACTGATCCAACTAGCAGGCAGAAGGTGGAGAGAAAAACAGAAAGAATCAAGGAGCTGAGATGGTGTCACATTCACCCTGGCAGACTGTACCATGTAGCACGTTTACTCAGCACAAGAAAAACGTCACATCCTCCTAATCTGTCCTGTCAACACTGCACTCACTTTACTGTTGGTTTGATCTTTGTTTGAGGTTTCACACATACAGTCTGCAGGATTTTGTTTAGGAAAAATGTTCCCAGAAGTTATTTCAATCTTTTAACAATTACAGACACTGGAATCTGTGTGTCAATAACCAAACACTCGAGGTTCTCATAGCACATCTGCAGGTTTAACAGTGGTCACCTGATAGGGGACCATCTTGTTCTGGCGATTACAGAACTGCGGCTCCATGAACGGGTCGCTGAAGAGAGCTGCCAAATTGTTGGGCTATCAGGGAGAAAACATTACAATGAGAAGGAAATCAGTTCATTTCATTCGTGATGACGTGTGCTGCCAAAACATATCGGACTTTATTATTATTACATATAATGTTGCTTCAGTCACTTTAACCGTAACCACAGGAAAGGGCAAAAAGCTAAAACAGAATGAAACTAAAGGAGGCTTTGTGTGTCTGCTTCTGAACACATCTGCATAAAAATGATCGCATATGAAGTGCTGACTGACAAATCCAACTACAGCCTCAGTGTTGCACTGGCTTGTTTGTTGTTCAGACTCCATAATTAGATATAAAGGCTCAGCCTTGTCTGTTACAGTTCAAATGCTGAAGCAAAAATGTATGAAAATCAATAATACGCTCCAAACACTGTTGTTTAGTGACATGACTGTGTGTCCCCGTGTGTGCATGCTAACCATTCTGCACACACACAGACACACACAGACAGACAAAGACGCTCTTCACTCACTTGGCTCGTGTTGAAGTCTAGTGGAATGCTCTGAAGCGGAGAGACGGGCTGCTGCTGCTGCTGCTGCTGGCGTTGGCGGCCCTGGTCCACTACATGCTGGGGTTGTTGGTAGAGCGGATAGGGCGGCGGAGGCTCCCTTGGCATATTGCTGGTATCCAAAGCAACTCCCTATCCACAACAGAGAAACCCAGCAGGAGTCACTAAAGTCCAATAAAGACCTGAAGCTCATTCAGTCTGACTGTAGTGTCATTACTTCTTTACTCTGAACAATGACACCAGCGTGTTTTCTGCGATGTAAATGAGTAACTTGGAGGAAATGCTTTGCTTTGTTATGCGTACGTTGAATTTTGGATCCTTCTTTGTGACAGCAGTCGTTCACACAGTGAAATGACTCCTTTTTCTGGTGTTTCCCTCTCGTCAGGGGAAACCTGTGTGTGAGGTGAGTGTACCTGCGTGATGGGGGACAACGAGGGCGACATGGTCGGAGACAGCTGCTTGGCCAGACCCCTGCGCTGCTCGGCCCCAGGAGACAGGGTGAGGGGGCTGATGGGAGCTGGCCTTCGCCGGGGGGAGTTGCTGGACAGGCGCAGGGATGAGTTGATGGAGGGATTGCTGAGCGAAGACTGCAGCTGACAGTTGTTGAGGGAAGCCTGGATTGAAGGATTGCTCAAAGAGGAGGAGAGACCTGCAGGGAGAGAAAACACAGCAACACAGGGACTCAATCACACGAGCTTCAGACCCAGCACGGTGTAAACGAGGAGAGTATGTGGTACTGCTGATGTACTTTTTTCCAGAATACTCTCCAGGCCCCGACTCACAACACTAGACTTTATTGTGTGACTGGGAAGGGAGAGAAAGATGGCGAGCAGAGGAAAGGAAAATGAGAGGACAGAGGGAAACTGAGGGGAAAGAAAAGGGCTGTTTGTAGCGAACCGAAAGAGGGTCAAAGTTTCTCTGTCACTTTGGTGTTCGGCCAAGCTGAACTGTATCCGACGTGGGAGCCCAAACACACACGCGCACACGCAACATACACAGACATTTATGGGCGTGACCAGGCAGCAGAGTTCACAGTGGGAGCTCTGAGACAGAGAGAGCCTTTAATGAGTTACTAACAACGTATGGCTGGCAGAGACATGGAGCTGGAGCTCACTCAAAGTGCCGGAGCTCGGCTTCCTAAGTTAAAGGGACAGTTCGAGCCCCAAATTCATGTATTTTTCCCATCAGCACTGTTATTCACCTGTCCAGACTGTTTCAGCATAAAGTCCTAAAAGTCAAAGAAAAATCTATCAAAAGCACGTGTTACTCCAAGTATGCCACAACTAAATGTTGCAAGGACAAGTGGAAGCAGCAGTGCTGTGTTAAACTGAGCTCCCACAGAATCACTGCTGTGATGTGTTTTATGAATAATTCAGGCAGACTCACATCTTTGGTCTTGGATCGGTCACAGCTCAATATTATTGGAACGTCCCAGACATGTTTGAGGTGTGCGGGCCAGAGATTGTCCGCGGTGATGTCATGTGATGAAAGGGGGGGGGCACTTTGAGTTTGCGCTATCAGGCAAGAGGAGCAACAGAAGGGGAGGCAGGCACCCAGGTATCTGTGAGGTTTCCCCTGGTGTGTGTGTCCTGTGTTTGTGTGTAAACAAGTATTTGTTTGTAATTTACTCATTTCCACGTGGTCAAAATGAGTCTTTATCACATGTGGACGGTTGATTCAGCACCATGGCTACGACGGGTGCAAGAGAGCCACGGCTGCTCCACAGTGACCACAACTGCACAAACAGCTGCTAATTTGTGATTGTTGGGGTTTTTTTTTTACAGAAATAAAGCTTTGTATTTTTTTAAATAAACTCCCATAATGACTTGCATATTAAAAAAAACTTTTTTTTTTTTCTTTTTTTGTGGAGTGACGGTAACGGTGTTCTGGGAATCCATCCTACCTGAAAAAACATCCTACCCAATGTTTCTGCGCAGAAGCGGCGCATGCGCACAACACCAACGCTGAATTAACTTCTTTTTCTCTCACCCATCCGGAATACTTCTTAAGGTTATGGTTAGGGTTATGGGTAGGGGTAGGGTTAGGTTTAGTCGCAAGTCACCGTCAAATTATAACACGGGTAGGACATTTTGTCAGAGTAGGATGGTTTCTCAGAACAGGCAGCGAGACAGAGCGAGCGAGTGAGAGACAGAGAGTTTTTAGATGTGGGAGATTTGTGACGTTAAGTGTGGAGTGTTTACTTAGTGTGTTGTCTTGTGTAGTTGTTCTGTTGTGTAGTCGTTTTGTTTTGTGTGTCAGTGAGGGCACTAATGAATGTCACAAAGGCACATTTGCAATGTAAACACTGTCACTAAGTAGAAAACCAGCGGAGTGATACACCTCCTGTCGTCAGGCCTGCAGGTTCATCCCTGTGCTGTTCTGTCTTTTGGTGGACAAACTGTTTGGTTTTTTTTTACTGACACACATCATTTGTGGGGCATCTTATTGTGACACCTGATTGTTCTCTCACTTTAGTTTTAGTAATACTTTTAAATGGTTGTAGAAAATGAAAAACCAGCAGGTGTATTGGCTGCATTTTTAGATAAATAGTTGTATATGTTTACAAAATGTACAATTTATATTTACCCAGCATCTCTGTGTTTTTTTACAGTAAAAAATACTACTAAGATTTTAAGTTCTTTGTGTGATTTCAGATCAGTAATAGAACTATTAATAGTAATAGTAATACTAATGCAGTATGTCAGTGAAAAAACAACAACATGCTGTTGAGCTGAAAGAATGAAACCAAACCAGGCAAAGGGAAAAAATAAAATGAAACAATTTGAGGGTGAAATACAAACGTAAACTCAAAAGGAGTCAAAAATGGCCGATTGTATTTCAGACCTCAGAGGGTTAATCCAACAAATCATGAAAAATTAGGTTTAAATTTTTGTTCATGACAGTGCAGATTTCTGACATTTTGTGTAATTTAACATGTAACAATGTGATTGTTTTCTGACAAAAAACAGTGTGAAACTTAAGATCGACTTGTGTTTGTAAATGAACCGCCCCATGTTGTGTAGCTTTCTGGATTTTATACTTATTGGGCTGCATATTTATTTATTATACAGGCTATACGGTACATAACATCAAAACTCACATGTTTTATGTAACTAAAGTGTGTAATTATGTGGGCTACAGACAATAATTAAGTTGTAGACTATATTTATATGAAAAACATGTATTCTTACTGCATTTGAATCATTTTACCCATATGTAACCACCTCCATATGTGTTTGGGGAAAAAAAAAGGCTTTGATTTTGCCACCCCATTTGATTTCTTTGTCACCCTCATGCCACCCTAAGAAAATTTCTCTAGATCTGCCCCTGCACACACACACACATACACACACACACACACACACACACACACACGCACACACACAACCTTGTGAGTTGCCGATGCCCAGGTGCATCATTGCAGCTGGCAGGTTTCCGGTGCTGCTGCCCCCGCTGATGTTGGGGTACCCGAGGTTGTCGTCAGGGTCCAGCGGCGTGGAGAGCGGGGAGGGAAACTGCAGGTTGCTGAGGTCTGGCAGGGAGCCCCCGGTACTCAACGAGCCCTGGTAGTGGGACAGCCCGGGGTTCTGCTCTGGAGACGGGAATATGCTGTAGGAAAGGCAGACAGAACACTGATTCAACACCGCGCCGCTGACCACAAACCATTCGGATTAAAGTAACGAACGCGACTAATTGAAAAGCACTCTCTTCTGTTCCCCACCTACTCTCTGCTTCTTCAATTATTTCCAAATAATAGCATATGGGCAGCAACTGTGCCTCGTCTGTCCCCAGACTATAAAGCAAATGCTCGCCTCCATAAACAGAGCAGCTCGGCACCTGGTACTCAGTGTTCTGCCTTTCTTATTTCCATGTTCAACTGGGGCAAGTCTATGAATGCTCTGCAGAAGCTGTTACTGCATTCTGTATCATGAAAAGAGAAGCTATAGGTCAGAGCTGTCTCACACGGTACCACAAGGCTGCTGCTAATACATTCCTGGCAAAAATGGAGATTCACGACACCGGAGGTCGTTCGTGGTGGAAGGAAAATAGTGTCAACAAAACACGGTTAAACAATGCCAATGGCATGTGATTGTCGTAACAACACTCTTCCTCTTACTTCTAAAGGTTAAAGGTGTAAAGGACGTCCTGTTTGAAGCAGTGGGAATGCGTGGCATTTCATTTCTAGCATTCCTTTGTTTCCTTAGATCAGCTGCAGTTGTTACTGCCCATGGAAAACACCCACAGCAGGTCAGTTATGACCACAGGGAAACAGCAGAAAACACACACAGTGACCCTGCTCAGACTCACTTGATTCCAGGCACTTCACAGGATTTAGGCCTTGAGGCCAGAGACTGGACCTGAAACAGAAACAGGAAAACTATGATACACGCAAAACATAACTGTGACATAAAGCAACGAAAACCCTGAACATGCATTTACACTTCTTGAAACAACAATTCTGCATTTTGATTTTATGCTAAAATTATTTCAAGGTTGCATCAAAGACAACCTAGTGTGCTAAAAAAAGGCAACGCAACAGCAGCCAGTGACTGCAGTCAGGGCTAGGCCACGCGGTGCGTTTGACTGAGCATGAAAGATCAGCAATTAGGCAACATTTAAAATGTTAACAACATGGAGATGTTGGAGCCTCCCGTTCATGTCAGAGCATGTTCACAGCATTTACAGCTTCAATTAGAGGTTGAAACAGAACTGCCATGAGAGAGAGGAAGAGGAGAAAAAGTCCTGCAGCGGTGTCAAGATGTGCTGAACTGTGGCTTCTTTACTTCCCAGCCACTCTGTGGGCCGTGCACCACCAAAGGGAGCATCAAACCATTTATAGGCTGCACTTGACGAGCAGCGATGAAGAACTTTGTTTAGAAACTGCATCTTGGAAATGATGAACACTTAAACACGCATCCATGTGCACAAGTTAAAAACACGAACACTACCGCCAGGCAGCAGAAAAAGCTCACCATTATTTCACTTTTCTACTACCGCTTATTGCTCGTGCACATGTTGCTATTCCAGAGAAATGATTTCAACAAACACTTAGAGAATAAAAGCAGTAAAATAAGGATCGCTCAGGCATCAAAACCAGAGCATCTGTGCCGAGAGCGGCTCTTTGCATCAGCACAGCGTATTCATCCAATAATGAGCAGAAATCCCCCTGAATACCAAGAATTGAGCAAAAAGAATGGGGACATTAATCACTGAGCAATGGGTGGTCATAACATTTGAGAATGCTGTGATCAGACAGACAGTGTTCTGACTGAAGGTCCACGTTTAAAACACACACAGTGTGCAAAAGTAAATGTCACGCATGCAACTGTGTTATGTGCAAATGTGCAGCTGGTGACTCGAGGGGTTAGAAAGACCACCATACTCTCTGTGTATTTAAATCATTTCTTGTTCCTTTGTGAATTTCAACATTCCCGATTCCGTATATTTGCCTCTCACATTTCTGGCTGCTAACGATCAGACAGGAAGGACTGGTATGACCTGCAGTCTCTCCTGAGCCACGGCAGGAATCCACGGTGTCACGATCACCTACGCTGCCACAGACAAATGCTGTTGGTCCCATTTTCAAGTTTGTTTTTATCAGCATAGAAAGAATGCAACCAGACGTGCAGGGATGAAGCCAGCCTGTGGTCAGTGATGTAAAAAGAGAGCAAACTTCTCACCTTCTTGGCCTGCCACAGCTGCTTGGGTAGCGGCTTACTGACACCTATGAGGTTCTCCTCGTTAGGGATGGTGGGGAAGGAGAAGACTGCAGAGAGAAAGGCGCACGTTCATTCACACATGTTTCCTAATGTCAAGTATAATATGGTGCAATGTGGTGCAACTCACCGTCTCCTGAGCCGTCCACCTCGGCCTCATTTACACTCGCTGCACACCAGCCTCCATCAGAAGCAAACAAACAGGAAGCAGAGTGCGAGTGGCGTGATCGACGAAGAAAGACACAGAAAACAAAGGCGGAGGAACGTTAGAGGATATTCTATATTAACCAGCTGTTTGAATAATCCCAGCACGCCTGATGCTCTCATTAGCCTCTCTGACAGTAACAGGCCCTCTGGCATTCTGCAATTACTGTGCAGTTTCAACAACAACAGCTGGGCATCTGGCATCGTGTTATTAATCAGAGAGGGCGAAGAAAAGTTGGGAGACGACTGTTGTTTTCTCATGCCTCAAAGATGCTTTCTACTCCTCCAGACTTAACAGCAGATCCACATGCCTGTGTCTCGTCCACCCAGTGTTTCTCTTTTCTCTGCCCAAGTCGTCGTGTGGGCAACACCACTTCCTGTGAAACACTTCTGTTGCTTATTAGGAAAATAGTTTTTGTTTCTCTCGTTTTCTCCTTCAGAGCTCATCATGCATCAAACTTGAGTTTAGGTCATTTTTTTTACGACTGCTATTATAGAAGTTTAAGGGCTGAAAATCTGGAATTCATGTCAATGCTACTTTGGCACAGACACTTCCCGAATTGAAGCCGGCTCGCCCCGGCAGGCTTATGTCCCCCACTACACCAGAGCAACTGCTCATTCAGAGCTCAAGCATCACAATCAAGAGCCCAAGGCACTGACTTTGCCTCCAAACTGCACCAGCTTCCAATGGGACGCACTGGTCTAATACATGGAGGCAGCATCTGAAATCCACAGAACACAAAGGCTCCACAAACCTGTGACCACAGGTTAGAAGTGCTCAATCATCCAGGTAAGTAAATCCCTAAAGGTTGATTCTGTTCATCTGGACATAGTGGGAGTGGGAGAAGTGTTCGTCACTCATCTTTCAACGTCTTATAATGCTGTGGTTGCAGCCCAGCTCTCTGTGAATGGTACTCATGGACGTTGATCGGTGGTTGTTGATCAATGGCCATGATAATCTGCATATTAATGATCAAGGAACTGACCTCCATCGTTCCCTCAGTGGTGCTACTTTCAGTCATTGTGCAAATGTAGTGATTATCACATTGGGGAAACATGCAGTCAACTGAGACTGAAGAAGTCACCTGATGATGATGACGAAACGTTTCTCCCACTGAAAACGTCCAGAATCAACCTTTGGAACAAGTCAGAAGTGTTTTGGTTTCATTGGATTTAGACCATATCAGTGCATGTAGTGTGAAGCATAAATCCAATAAAACCTTTAAAGTATAATTGTAATTTGCTTTGAGGACAGATGTTTTCAAAGACTTTTCAGGATCTCCACAGCCCGACTCCTTCCATGCTCTCATTCTCTCTGAGGCTCATTCAAATTGAGAGACAGCATTCAGATGGAGCAATGAGACAAGACAAGCGTCTGGCATCGCTACATTTCCCCTTTAAAGGTTGTCGAGTCCCCGTAGCTCAATGCTGCAACTAGGACGGAAACGGGACAACTGGCATGGAAAATGGTTGGGCTGGTGTCCCTGGCTCGGATCAGGCCGTGCAATGCTCTCAGTATGGGTGTTGTAAATGCTCAGGATTAAGAAAAAACACTAGTGTCTACTGCCACAGCATAGCAGCAATCAGAGCCCTGTCAGCTGCACAGACTGCTCCTTTTCTACTGACAACAACAGAAACGAAATCTCACGATTAGAGACTGCAGCTGAACTGATCTGTCCAAAGTGTTTCCACCTATTCCTCCAGTGTGACTCATAGCTGTAATTTCTAGTTAGATGCTTCTTTAATCAGCCAGGGCTTAACACCACTCTAAGTCCGCCGAAGCCTTGAGAGGTGTCAACGAGGCCCTGGAGCCTCACAGCTCTGTGCGCTCGTGCAGGAGGCCGTGACACCAGGCTGCTCCATCTCAAGGCCTCTTTCAGAGGAAACGACACAGAGCCTGTGGGTCATGTGCAACATGTATTTTACATTTACAACAGGCTGTGAGCGCAGACTGCACTGTGCATAGTTCCCCACAGACTTCTTAGTTCATGTTGGAGAAACAGAATTAGCTCTTTGCAGATACAGTTAATGATTTATCAGTTTGACATAAATGCACCGAATAAAGTTTAACTACTTAAACGATTGTCAACGGACATTATCATAATTACACATTCATTTATAGACATAAATCCTTCAGTGGTTTGAGCCTCTTAACAATTCCAATGATGGGAGACTAAAGAAACCTTATGGATTCTGACTGATGGAGTCTCAAGCTGCAGCTCCTCTAATGGCCAAATGAGGCTTTAATGTTAAGGTTTCATTTTAAAATACCTCTTTTTTTTTCATTATTAAAAAAAAAAAATACAATTACCGCTTAGTTATTTTGGTCTTCTTGGGTAATTTCTCCCTTCATAGCACACCTGTTTGGATTTTGTTTAAGTACGGGGTGTGTGCTGTGTGCTGACAGCTGTAGTCCCATAGCTGCATGCTGGGCCTCACCTCCATTAACTGGAGTCGCTGAACTGGACCTCTGGGGTGCCGTTTGTGCATTTTGGAGCACGTTAACAGACGAGCAAATGTTACAGCTGAGATGCAGCACAGACCATCCAAGAAGTCTGTGCTTCAGGTTTGGTGCGTAAGGCTGTAATATTTTACTCAGTGTGCTGTGTGTCCACTTCATGGATGCAGTTTGCTAACAACAGTTGGTAACTCAGTACTCCACCCACTGATCAACAGCCAATATGCTATAAACACAAAAACTAATGGGTCACAGTGGCTACGTCCATCTAGGATCCACGGGTAGCCACTCCCATCAGTGCATGCGAGCTGGAACTAACATACAGGCAAAAGCAACCCTGTGTGCATAAATGAAGCTCTTTCTCGGGTTAGATCTTGAGGCAATATCCTGTTTGAATGTGTTGTCTAAACAGAAGGAGTAGGAATCCACTGCAGGAGCACTTCTGTTCCACACTTCATCAGCACTGAGATAACAAAGAAGCACAAAGTGAAGGACTAACGAGTGCAGAGAGGAGGACGATCAGCTCTTTGACTCTGAGTCGACTCTCTCTCTTTGGCTCAGCTACAGACGTATAAACAGACTGTTTTAAACCACAAAGGGCTGATGGTGAGTTGTGTAACTGAGCCTAGAGTGGCTTACTGGCCTGAAATGCAGCTGGTTGGACTGTGTTCTCTGTTAATAAATGACCAGGGGAACAGAAACACAAACATCATAAACTAGCATGATTACAATGAAATGAGCCCAGTATAGGAGCGGTCTGCTTACTCTATATGACTAAAACACATCAGCTCTGTATTGCAGTGATCCAGCTTTCTACTCTGAAGTGTAACACATTGGCTAAGTTTTTGAGGCTAAATCCACGAGTGGGTTGTAATTAGTCTCGCTGGACTGTTTCCTGGCCTGTTGGTGGAGCGTTTCACACTGTTATTCCTCAGATTCTTTCATGTGATGGTTCCTGTTAGATTTAGGACCTGATTAAGTGGCTCAGGGCAAAATAAAAACCTCTGTTGGCACCAAAAAGCAGGCACACAAACAGGTTAGCGATGGAACCTGCTGATTAATTCAGCTTGGACTTTCTGACTTGCTCAGATTTGCAGGAGGACGAGGTCACTGCTGCTGTTTGTGGCATCATTTAGCCCCGTGTCTGTCATTGCAGCAATCATTGTTAGAACAAGCACAAGGCTGTAAGATCCATTCCTTCAGTCTTTAACGACTGCTCCCTCTGAACCAAGCCCTGCATATTTCTGCTCCTCAGCACTGCTGTTTTAATGCATCCGAGCTGATTTGAAAGGTCAGAGAGAGGGGACGCATATAGGCAACAGTGTATACTTCTCAAGTCATTTAAACACAGTCGGTCAGAATCTGACTAATGCTCTGTGTTTTTCTACACATCCGACAGGTCAGCTGTTAAAGACAGATTCCAGGTTTACATCCCGCCCTCTGGTTGGGAATATAAAGCAGCCTCACTCTGGATGAATCCTGCACTCCATCTCAGCTGTCGGGATTTGGAGAACAGCATTTCTCAGTGGCTGACAGAAGATTTTACCCAAAAACACAGCGATTCTCCTTCTGCCCCCTCTCCTCGGTCGTTAGTTTTGTCAACCTGTTATGCACAGCTCGTGGTAGCTCGTGTTGCTCATTACTGAAATGACTCGGTCACGTCTTTTCTCATAAATTGGTGATTTACTCTTAGATCACCTGCAAAACCTTCCACTTCCTGTGGCACTTTTCAGCTGTTGTGGGATTATGCTAATCCGGCCTGTTTAGCAGCACTGTGTTAGACGTTAATTCACAAATTCTGCTTGAACTAAAATTAGCTGGTGGGGCAGACCGTGGCTTCAAATGAGCCTGAGTATGTGTTTTAAGACACAAAGCTGGGAAGTTTAAAGATGTTCAAACAGAGAGTTTAACAAATGTATTAGTCCAGGTTTACACCACAGGTACCGTAACATAACAGTACTGCTAATCAACAAAACCATTTTTATGTTTGTGTCATGGTTAATCCATCTGCATGTGCAAGTTCTTTAATCGAAATGATATTTTAATACTAGAATATAATGTTGTTAAACATGTGTATTGAGTTAAGGAAATTATTTTGTTTTAAACATATTTTCCAAAAGTGTGTTTTCCTATTTTTACAACAGACCGTCTCATAAATTTGTTAAGCACTGTACTTCCATATCACACCTGTGCAACCAAATGCAACACCATCTTGTTTGCTTGTAGCTTAAAGTGAATCGGGTGACTCACTCTGCACAGAAGTTACAAACTCACGGTGAAGCACAGACGCACAAAACCCACGGAGTGAAGAGGAGACATTTTCTGGTTTGTTTGCGTCTCTCTTCAGGCAAACTGAGGCCTGATGATGTCAGGTTCTTTGATGGCCAATAAGAGCAAAGTAGCTGCTGTGAACATAGGTAATATTTACAGGAATAAGACTACTTTAAACTCCAAATGTCTTTTTAATTTTGCGACTTAAAGGCATGTCTTAATGATGGAGATGAATTGCAGGTCTTCTTAAGTCAAATTCTAACTTACAACACTAAACACTGTCAAAAGGGACGCATAGAAAGTGCTCTCTGAATGAGTGTGCGTATGATACTCTCACCATTGCGCTGTGGGGGTCCTCTACCCATCTGCTGGTGCATGCCAAATGGGTCCTGAGGGTTTGGGTTCATAGCACTTGTATGAAGAGCAGAGTCTGAGTTGGTTCTGTGTAGGAGGAAGAGGAGGAGGAAGAAATTATGGTGTGTATTCCAGCACCCTGGACAGAGGCAGAAGGTTTCTGAGGGCTGTAAGGTCAGTGAATCATTCCTGCTCTGGCTGCACATGGGCCACATTCATCTGCAGGCTCCCGCTGACCTTACACATAAACACCCTCACAGCACTCAGCTCAATCTTTAGCAGGACATCGTAACATAATCACCTTAAACCCTGAACGAGACACAGGGAACTCCATGCAATGGTTAAGATTAATATGAATGTTATAACAATCCAATTTCATCTGATTATTTGATTTGAAGCTGCGCTTTTCTTGGCGGTAGATGCCCAATCCAACATTTCACACACATATGTTCACCTTTCACTTGAAGCAATCTCTGAACATACACACACGAGCCAGCCCACGCACAGCATCTTCGTCTTGCAGCGCTTCAGCTGAGAGCTTTCTTTAGTGCGCTCCATTAAGCCTAAATAGCTGCTTTTGTGCATCACAATGTAGAAAAGTGTTGTAATCACACTTATACTGTGAATGTGTGTGTGAATGGGTGGGTGACTGGATGTGTAGAGCGCTTTGGGGTCCTTGGGGACTAGTAAAGCGTTATACAAATACAGGCCATTTACCATTTATACTTGATCCAGTTTAAGCTTTTAAAGCTGCCAGATTTTATTCCAAGTCTGCTTTGTACCATCCATTACTGTAGGCTGAGGCAGGAGAGTACGTTTGATTATTGAGCACATCGAAATGAAGCTAATGCATCTACACACTTTGGCTGTAAATATAAATCTGTGCTGTGGTTTGAAATAAAATAACAGAGACACATCAAAATGACCATTTTCTTCACTGTGCCAATTATAATGATGACTAGGGCTGGGCGATACATCGAGTTTTTCAATACATCGATATATTTTTATACGAGATAAGAGATGTGACAATATCGTTTATATCGATAGCGTCTATGTAACGTTATAATTATAAGTTTGCTTCTTGTCCACTTTTGTCTCTACGCTGCGTTACTCCGACTCCCCCATCGCTTCACCTGCAGGCAACGACTAGATGGACACGGCAGCTATCAAAGAGGAGCTGGTCGGTAAAAACAAAACATTTGGAAATTACTACTTTAGTCCTGGCAGCGTTAATCTCATTAAAATGACGTTAACGTGGCAAATCTCCATTAACGAGTTACCGCGGATCGCCCCGTGCGTGGGGCTGCACGGCGTCAATGCCTTAACGCGCTAACGCCATGGAGCCCCACGCACGGGGGCTGCATGCCCTAAAGTCCTTTAATTTTCTCAAAAATTGACAGCACGCCTTATGTATGAATTCTGGTTGTGCTCACTGATATCGAACCGATTTTCTGTGGTACATGGCGCTCAAAATTCTGTGAAAAATGATTTAGTACGACTTTGCTAAGCTACAAGGCCGCACCGCTTGATGGATTGTCGGAGCATTACGGCTATCGTAGGCAGGAGCCTCGCGGAGTGATAGTACTGTGCTTCAACGTAATATTACCGTAACGTGTGTGTATAAGGACCATAAATGGCAGCTGTTCAGAGACACGGTTACAAAGAGGATTTCAAACTCCAGGCTGTCAGTCACGCAGTAGAAGTTGGGAACAGAGCAGCTGTGAAATCTGTCTTTGTTATTATGCTCAGCATCTGTTAGTTTACATTTTGACTGCACAATTGTGAGCTTTTTGTTATGCACAAAAACAACATTGGTTTATTTTATTTATGGAGCATTATTATTAAATGCTGATAATTTATTTCTGAGTAATTTTTGCACGTACATCTGCGCTGTATGTTAATAAAAGTGTCTGTATGAGATCTGGGACACAGCTTTGACTAAGAGCTCTCTCTTTGTTCTTACTTTATGGCTTTAAGAAATATGGTGAGATATATATCGTATATCGCCATCCAGCTAAAGATCGAGATATGAATTTTGGGTCATATCGCCCAGTCCTAATGATCACTGACTTTATGGTAAATGGCCTGTATGTGTATAGCGCTTTACTAGTCCCTAAGGACCCCAAAGCGCTTTACACATCCAGTCATCCACCCATTCACACACACATTCACATTACACACAGTAATACATTCTAAGTTAGGAAATAGCCTTTAAACAACAGTTAAACAAGCACAGGGTGGAGACTCTGTGATCTGCCCCCATTCATAGCAAACAGGTGCATTTACAAACATTTTGATTGCAAATTTAGAAAAAAAAAAAATAAAACATTGAATTATCTTCAAAGCATTTAAAATTCAGACATGTCATTTTCATTTTCCCCCTGTTGTAGGAGATCCAGATCCAGACTTCTGCACTCAGTACTCATCAAATGTGGTCGTGTGTTCAGTCTTTAAGTCAGATTTAAACCCTTTCACAGCTGACGTTATTAGAGTTAACTGACTCATTGAAGCTGCCTTTTACTTACAAAATTAAAATAAAATCAAAGTATTGAGTAAGTGTCCTCATTTTTATACGTTAAAAAACAAACTTCAACGTCCTTGCTACTGTGATAATTGCAATTTATTTCCATATTTGGCGGTCAACTGCAGCAACCAAGTGTTCATTCATAGACTGAGAGTGTGTCACAGTCTGGACAACCATTTTTATTCACAAGGCAATCGCACAAATCTCATAATGGGAGGCAACCTGTCTCCAAACAATCGTGATCCAGCTTCAGCTGGTTACAGTTATTCTCAGACTGGTGAAGGTGTGCAAAAAAACTGCCATCTCATTTACAAATGCAGACGGATTGCCAACACGTCGTGATCAATCTGCCAAAAAACCCCAAAGAAAAACAAGTTGATTGACTGATTGATCCAATTTAATGTTGTTGTCATAGTAACAGAAACACCGTTTTCTGATAATCCGCTGGTGCAAACCTAAAAATGTGTATTTTAGACAAACTATTCTCCGTGGTGACGACCTGGAGGCTGATACTCAAAGTTGGTTATGGAAAAATATCATGCTGAATGAAGATGGGAACGCCACATTGGAGTTGGTATAAAATTGATCTGGTGCCATTTTACAAGTATATGTGCGCAGATATTTCATATATCCCATCCAGTCTGTACCTCGAGAGCTGCAACTCGGTGTTTCACAGAAGCCAACGGTCACAGCGAGGTAATACTTGTAGAAAGCACTCAAGCACTTTGCAATGTGTGCCATTTTATTCTTTTCTACATATTCCACTTGTGTGTTTTTAATCCTGTTCTCTTATAATAAGAAATCCAATCAGACAAACAGTAAAGAAGAATGGTGCTAAGGAAGCCGCTGCTCCCCGCAACAATCGAGTACAGTGCAGCTGTTGGTTTGTTATTGCTTTGGTCACATTGTGTTGGTCCAGAGCTGTGAAAGAGATTAAGATCAGACCACATTTTATGAGTAATCAATGCAGAACTCGCTTTAATTCCAACATGTTCTCAACCTTTTCCTGCAACTGCCGCCAACACAAACTGACTCCAGAAAAATCAGAGAACCCAAAGACAATACAACATTTCAGAGATGATGTAAAAAGGCTGAGAGTCAGAAAATGTGAGTAAGGGACCTTGATGTTAGACTGCAAAGAGTCCTAAAGCTGGTTAGTGAGTACCTAATGTTACAGACTGAAAACAGGAGTGGAAAGCTACAAAGAAATGAGTGATAAGACTCTGGAGCTGAGACTTGGGTCCTCTATTCCAGTGCTTCAAAGGAAGAAAGAAGAAGGGGATTATTGAGATGTTACAAATCAGGCAGAGATTTACAACAGATAGAAACCAGGACACGATGTAGACAAGACGGATTGCAAAAAGACAAAGAACAGAATTGTTTGCCACTGTAAGCGAGGGATAAGGCAGGCCGAGCGAAAGAGGGGAAAAAGACTGAGAAAGAGAGGGATGGGGTCAAGGGGTCACCTGTTGAGTTGTGATATTAATCTAAACCCCGGCCGTTTTTCCTCAGTCCATGGCTGCTGTTCCCTTCGAAGACAGACAGAGGAAAAGCATGACAGACACATTTAATGGGTAAAAGCAGAGACCCCTGGGTCCAGCCTTAAAGTTCTGCAAGAGGAGAAAATATCCCTGTAAAAAATGTGACATATTTGCATTGGCATACACATGGAAAGAAGAAAGACCTCGGAAAACACTCAAGACCCAGCACAATAGGCCTTTATTTCAGAGGAAAATGGAAAGAGGGGATAAATTCAAAACAGGCTGAAGACTGATGGGAAGGAAAAATGAAGACAAAGACAAGAAGCAAGCTAGGTTTATAAACCTCTCACACGTGCAACCAGCACTCTGAGGAAACGACGAGAAACAGAGTCGTCAAAGCCTGAAACGATGGAGTGGGAACGCTGACTGAGTGGATTTTGTCCTAAAGCGCTCATCAAAAAGGGTCCTGACTTCTACGTAAAAGGAAGTAGTAACAGTTTGTTTTTCTCCAACTGGCACAGCTACTTTTCTAAAAATACTCAACTGTGATGGAAAGAACTAAAAACTAAAAATAAATAAATAATAAACTAGACCACCCTCTCTCCAGTCATGCCGGCTGGGATGTTTGCGGAATGCTTTCTTAGCGTTATATAGTGGTGCAACGGATCACGGTTGATCCGTAATCCGAACCGATCCCACTCCACGGTTCGGCACGCACGTGATCCGAAGATTCGAAAAAGAAGAAAAATAAAAAAAAATATGTGTGTATGGTGGTCAGTCTGTCAAGCGGTAGTTATGGTCAGCGCTAGCGGTCCAAGTGGAGGAGCAGAGGAGTTTGCGGTATTTAAGCAGCCCCTTTGCTGCCCAGTCCGACCGGGCTAAAGCTATTACAGAAGCTATTGGGGTGTTTAGCTGCAGATGGAAGGCCGTATTCTCTTGTGCAAAACAAGGGGTTTAAACTGTGATGAACATGCTTGAGCCACGCTATGATATCCTGTTGCGCGTCCACTTCAGTGACAAGATCGCTCCAGGCATGTGTGAGCAGGAAAAGTTCAAAGTTATGGCTGAACTGTCCCAGGCATCTTCTGCTGCCCTAACTACAAATGGGTGGACCTCCAGGGCAACGGGAAGCTACGTGACCGTTATTATATCATTGTTATAGTCCAGGTGGGCGATCGTGGCTCAAGAGTTGGGAGTTCGCCTTGTAATCGGAAGGTTGCCGGTTCGAGCCCCGGCTTGGACAGTCTCGGTCGTTGTGTCCTTGGGCAAGACACTTCACCCGTTGCCTACTGGTGGTGGTCAGAGGGCCCGGTGGCGCCAGTGTCCGGCAGCCTCGCCTCTGTCAGTGCGCCCCAGGGTGGCTGTGGCTACAATGTAGCTGCCATCACCAGTGTGTGAATGTGTGTGTGAATGTGTGGATGACTGGATGTGTAAAGCGCTTTGGGGTCCTTAGGGACTAGTAAAGCGCTATATAAATACAGGCCATTTATATCACAGCAGAGTGGTAGATACAAGGCCCTGCCCTGCCCTATAGATTACATTAGATTAGATGAAACTTTATTTATCCCTCGGGTGGATTCCTCCAGGAAATTCTGCAACAGAAGTTGCAGAATGTGAGCAGAAATATACCATATTTACACATATATAAATACAGAGAATACAAAAGGGATAAATAGAATAAACAGGAATAAGAATACAAGGGAACGGCACATTTCAAGTATTGTGAGTCTATTACACCGTTGGATATTAACAAAAACTATTGCACAGTGAAAAGGCACTACAGCTTACTTGTTCCCCCCTCCTCTGTCCCCGTTTCCCCTCCCAGTTTGATGGCGTGTGGGACAAAGGAGTTTTTAAGTCTACTGGTTCTTGACTTTGGGAGAAGCAACCTGTCATTGAACAGACTCCTCTGGTTGTTTATGGCCGTGTGCAGAGGATGCCCAGCATGGTCCATAAAGTCCATATTGCACCTTAATTTATTTTTATATAAGTGCGTGGAATGAGTCTTGAATTTAATGTTTTTTAATAGGCAAAAAATACTTAAATGAGTAAATGGCGAGTCAAATTTTTGTCTTTTTTTCTTCTCATTTTTGCTGATCCGAAAATTGATCCAATCCGTGAGATATTTGATCCGTTGCACCACTAGCGTTATATATTAACAACATGCTCCTGTTTTTCAGCTGCCATCAAAGAAATAGTTGGAAAACCAAAAATCAAAGCAACCAGAAACACAATGACGTCAGGCACTTTGTTAACAAGCTGTTTAGCCACATCTTCACTTTCAGTACAGGGAGACAGAATTTAACTGCCCGACGTGTGAGCCTGGGTTCGAACCTGCTGGGCAGTGAATCTCTGAGTGGACTTTGTCTGTGTGAAGGCTAACGTTTCCTCTCACTGTCTAAGTTAGGCTTAAGATATAGCTGAGAGCCCGCTGTGACTTTTTTCTCTGAGGAATTCGACCTCTGCTGCTGTGGCTACATAACTGAATTGTTGTCTTTAAATGTTTTTAAAACTAAACTCAAAGGCTTACAGGTTGCCTCAATAATGTGTAATTGTTTTGTGTAATTTTAACTTTGTTTGTTTGTATTTGTCTTGAAATGTGCTGCCTCTTGGCCAGGACTCCCTTGAAAAAGAGGTCTTTGATCTCAACGGGACATTCCTGGTTAAATAAAGGTTAAATAAATTTAAAAAAAAAAAATAATAATCAGTTCTCAGAACTGACATAATGTGGGCTGGTTCTCAAAGGGCACCAGTGCAGACCTGTGACAACACTGACTGGGTTCCCTACGTGACGTCTCAAGCCGACTGTCTTGGTGTTTTAAAAGTGGATATTAAAAAAAATCCAGGGTGGGTCTGACTGGAAACCAGTGGAGCACACTGCAAAGCTAGCATTGCTCCAAAGCTAGCAAGCTGCCCATCCTCTTTCCAACTTTAATGTGGGCAATAAATTCAAACTGAACATTACAATATGTTCAGTGAGACTTTTTGATGGCAATACTATGTCAATGCAGGGACATCAAATATCGATTTTATTAAATACATGAAAATACTTTGGGAACACTACAAACAAGAGCAGGGCTCGCAAAATTTCAAAATCCCTGGTAGCCCTTCGGGCAGGGACTCTTCAGTTTTTGGTAGCCCAAAATAAATTTAAGTAGCCCGAATAAAAAAGAGAGCAATTTTTTGATTGATGTTTTGTTTCCTTTACAATATTATACATTAAAGTATAATATTGTAAAGGAAACAAAACATTAATCAAAAAATTGTTGAAAAACAAATTACAACATTGTATAAAAATTACAATCATCAACTCAAATACTTGGTTCTAATTGAACAGAAATTTCTATGAACTTGTAAGAACTGTGTAGGACATGAATCAGTCTGTGTCAGATCCTGAATTTGAAATTTCCACTGAAGTCACGGGTAAGAGACAAGTGGAACCAAGATCGAGGCCATTTGCTTTTTGAAGTTTGCAAAGACTGCTAAATTGTGCCAGTGGTAGTTCACTCTTTGCAACATAGTAGCTGTTCTAAACAGATTTTTCAGGTTTATTTTTAGTATGTTATTTGCAATTGGTGTTTGTTCTGGGAAAGATATTGCAGACTGAGCAATAATGCATTTCTTGCATTTCTCATGGGTTCTAATGGGGGCCTTTCTTAAAATGACTGGTCCCAGTAACAAAGGCGCTTGTCGACTCAGAAATCGAGAGAAAACCAACAACACACCCGGCAGAACATTATGTTATTTACACGGGTGCACATAAGTGGTCCGCATGTGCGCATTCGCTGTCAAAATAAAAGACGCGCACCAGATAAGAAGTTGCAACGCGCGTTTGCGTCCATATAAAAAGCACTGTTTTTGTCCGCTAGAGTGGGATTTTCACGGCACATTCCGCACCACATCTCTGTGCGTTCATCATTTGTTTGAAGCCAGCTCACCTCCTGCAACCACTTTTCCGAGAATACGCGCTTCTTTTGTGGTTCGGACTCCTTCTGACATTTGTTTGGAGGTGGAGGAACACCAAAGTAATTGCTTAAAGGAGCTTCTTCGACATCTTTAAGAGTTCTAAACAAATGTCTGTCCTCCTCCAGAAAATCTTATGTAGCAAACACGCGTTGCAACTTCTTATCTTGTGCGCGTTTTTTTATTTTGACAGCGAATGCGCACCTGCAGTAGGGCTGCTCGATTATGGCAAAAATGATAATCACGATTATTTTCACTGAAATTGAGATCTCGATTATTTGACGATATTTATTTAACAATAACAATGTATTGAATAATGACTTTAAAGATTGTCAAAAAATAATATAAAATAGTGTGCAAATACTGATAACAGTGCAAATGTTTGCAATATAAAAAATAAATGAAAAATGTAAACATCTATGTTTAGTGAACTTTGCAGTGTTGCTCTGTGGTGCAGCTACACACTGTAGCAAAGTTTACACACTATGTCTACTTGATCCACGTCTGACTCCGCGAACCCATAATGTTTCCACACCACTGAAGTTTTTTTTACCTCTCTTTTCAACCAACGGCAGTCACTCTCCTCTCCAAATAACTTCTGCTTAGCTTTCCGAGCTTCCCTCGGGTCCTCTTAATTGTTGTGACGCGTGTTCGAAATGCAGAGAGGTGCGCTCGATTTGCCACACGGAGCAGCGCGAGAGTAAAGCACGAGGGAGGGGCTAATAATCGGCTCAGTCATTTTTAATGATCGTTGAAAGCCCAGATCGTAATCGAGATTAAAATTCGATTAATTGAGCAGCCCTACTGCGGACCACTTATGTGCAGCCCTGGTTATTTAGCTCATCATATTGCAGCCACAGAAATTCTTTTGTCCATGAAACCATAAAGCTGCACTTTCTTTTTGCCTTATAGTCTGATTTGTCATAACTTCTCCGTTTTGTGGTAAGCTTTTCTTTGGCTGTCACTTCTTCACCCTGACCTGTCTTATTTGGCTCAGCAGAACTAAAATATAATCCTGCTGCTTTTACACACCACTCACATAAGCTCAGCGATTCTCTGCGCGATCAACCTCTCACATGTTTAAG